CAAAGACACACAGGCGTAGAATCAGTCTTTTTGTTGTGTGCGCGTGTATCCGCAGTGCGCCAGCGAGAAACAGTCTGAGCTGGCTCTACGCAACAGCCACCCGTCACACACACACACACACACACACATATGCGGGGAAATGGCGGTCAACAGTGCTGGGACTAAGACGTAGGAGACACAAGGCCACACGCCCATCCCACCTCAGTGCATCTGTCCCCGCCACTTCCCCCCGTTTCCCTTTACTCCCTTCACAATTTCTCCTGGTTCTTCACCACGCCACAGCTCCTTTTTTTTTTCCTTTCTTACCAGCAGTTCCCCCCATCCCGCCTCATCCCTAGTTCATCAGCAATTATAGCAAACAATCAATCAACAGAGTATGTCCCTCGCGTTTCCCTGTACACCATCCTTGTCATTTTGTTGTTGTTTGTTTGTTCCCCCGCTTCTTCACCCTGGAGGAGTTACGCGCATGCCGGGTTGCTGTAGACACGCTTGCCTTTCTTGTACACTGCCTCGATGGGCGGGTCAACCATTTGGTATACAACGTGCTCCCAGCGCGGGGCGTGCAGCAGCACGATGTCCGCCCACTTGCCCGCCTCGAGACTGCCGCAGCGGTCGCTCATCTGCAGGCTTCCAGCCGAGTTAATCGTCGCGGCGACGAGCGCCTCCTCCACCGTCATGTGCATCAGTACGCACGCCACGTTCATTGTGTGCGGCATGGACACGGAGTGCGCGTTGGGGCAGAAATCGCTGCCGAGTGCAACCGGCACATGGCCGTCGATAAGCTTCCGCGCCGGTGGCGGGGTGATGCGGAGGACGTACGCGGTAATGGGCAGCAGCACAGCGAAGGTAGGCTTCTTTCGCATGCAGGCGATGCCGGCGTCGCTGACGTGCTCGAGGTGCGACACCGCCTGTGCGCCGAGCTCACCAGCGAGCTCACCGGAGGCGACGAATGACAACTCGTCGCCGTGGAAGTTAAGCGCGAGACCGGCTGCCTGCCCCGCTGCTAGCACGCGGCGCGACTGCTCGTGGTCAAAGACGCCCTCCTCGCAGAAGACGTCAATATTGCGCACGTCGTTGCGCCCCGCCGCGCGCTCCTGCATCACGGACGGCAGCTGCTGCTCCACCACGTTCCGCACCGCCTCCTCCGCGGTCATGCCCGCCGGCACCGCGTGGGCGCCGCAGTATGTACTGACAACCGTCAGCGGCCCCTCGTCACCCGCCTGCTTCAGCACGCGCAGCATCTTCAGCTCCGTGTCGCACTCGAGGCCGTAGCCGCTCTTCCCCTCCACCGTTGTCGTGCCGAAGGCGAGCATGCGGCGCAGGCGCTTCTGCAGCTGTGCCCTGAGCTGTTCCTCGCTCGCGGCGCGCGTGCAGCGGGTGGTGAAGCCGATGCCGCCCCCAGCCCGCTGCACGTCCATGTAGCTCGCGCCATTCAGCTTCAGCGTGAACTCGTGGGAGCGGTCGCCGTCCCAGACCGGGTGCGTGTGGGCGTCAACGAAGCCCGGCAGCAGCACCTTCCCCTCGCACGGGACCGTCTCGCTGAGTTTGCACTTGTGGGTCGCGATGTAGGCCTGCACCTCGTCGTTGGCGCCGACAGCAGCAATGTTGCCGCTCTGCGTGTCGACGAGGAGTGAGCCGTGCGGAATGATGGCGATGCTGTTGCTCTGCTCCCGCCCAGCGAGGTGACGCTCGCCGTTGCGCACCACCTGCACCACCTGCTTCGCGTTTCGGAAGAGCAGCATATGTGATAGTATTCTCTTCGTTGTGCTTCGCTCTCTGAAGTCTTGCTGTAGGTATGTATTTCTGTATATTTGTTTTCCGTCTCTCCGTTCCCCTTGCTCTCACCTCCTGCCGGTATGTTCTCTTCTCCCTCTTTTCCTTTCGCTATTGACTCACCCTTTTGCTTCCGGTGGCTTTTGAGTACTTCACTGTGGTTGTATGTCGCGTGTGTGTGTGTGTGTGTGCGCCGCCCCGTCAAGCTGCCTGTTCGTGTGTAGATGACTTGCTAAACCTGCACGCCCAAGGGAGACGCCAACACGGAGCAGAGGAGCGTACGGCAATACGCCCACAGAGAGAGAGAGAGAGAGAGAAAGACATACAGACAGCAGTAGCATCACCCGTAGCACGCCCACACAGACACAGAGTCACTCACTCACTCACTTTTGTCTTCACCACCCGCAACAGCAGCCGAACACGCACACGGCCTGGCCTCTGCATTCTCAGCAGCCACCACCACGGCAGCTGGAGCAGCAGGGAATGAACGCACTCCACACCCCGCGTGAGTCCACTGCAACGGACTACAGCTCCGCCTCACTCGCACTCAGAAGATCATAGCAAACAAACATAAAAAAAGGGTAGACTAGTAACTAGAAAAAAAAAGCAGGGCAAGGAAGCTACATGTGGACTAAACGAGAGTCCCCTGGCAACTTTCCACTGGTGATAGCGCAGGCTCTTCCTTTCACTGGGTGCTCCCCCAACTTCTCCCGCTGCAGGCGCCCCCTTACCCACCCACCCACACACACACACACACAGACGTCAGTTTTGTGATTCCTGATTAGTCGTTCTTAAAGAACGGATCGAGCGCAACCGCCATGGCCGCTTTGGCACGCTCCTTTGCCACGGTGCGTCCCAATGGCGTGGAGGCAAGTAATTGCGGAATGAGCGCAACCACCTCGGCTGCTGCTGCTGCTTCCGCTTCCGCCTCCGCCTCTGCCGGTGTATGTTCAGCGAGCCGGCTTTCCTGCGCGGGAACAGCACGATTGCTGTTGCTTCTGCTGTCGTCTCTGTCGCCACCACGACGTCCTTGCGGCACCGCCGTTTGACCAAAAGAACTGGACGGCGTTCCGGTACCCTCCACCGAAGCACGGGGAGATGCGGCGTCTGCCACTTGTTGGAGCTGTTGGAGTTGAAACAACGGCCGCAGTGTGGAGGAAAAGAGCCGATGTCTCTCCTCAGCTATTCCCGGTGAAACGGTGGGGCACTTGTGGTGTTGCTTCTTCTGCTTCCACCACCACTGAAAGGGAGGAAAGGGGGACACGAACTCCGAGTCTAGCGGAACGCTGCGCTCGTCCCCCATCTGCAGGTACGGCCCAGGATCAAGCGCAGCCAAAACATGCTCCTTACACCCACGAAGCGACGCCGCAGGAGCAAGTGTGGCAATAGCATTACAAGCACTACTGCTGTTGCTGATGTTATTCGTGCCATTGTAGATGCTGCCACCATCACTACCCGACTCGTGTGGTGCAGCGAAGGCAGTCGTAACAAGTTGGCACAACAGCATACGCTCCTGAATTTCCGGCTTGTAGGAGCGATGGAGCGCGAGAATGGGCGACTTTGCGTCGCGGTAGCCGCTGCGTGTGTGTGGAGCACCAGCCGCAGAAGTGGAAGAGGTTGTGTGAGTCCCGCAGAGAAGTGCCCGTCGCACAGCCTCCGCCATCGCCTGCTCCTCATCTGGCGGCGCAATGCGGTGCGGCGACAGCCCCGGGGGGCGCTCTCTGTACGGCGCGGCGAAGGCCGCAACGTG